GTTCAAAGCCCTGAAGATAATCTTTCTTACAGAGGCCTGAGAATCTTAAAACTACATTTTCTCAGGTAGCAGAAAAGAGGAAGAAGTTTCAAAATTTGAGTTGGAGCAAGACTCAGGAGACAATGAGAGACCTTGACATTCATCCACTGTTACCCTCTTTGGTCACAAGTTCAGGAATTAGAGAAAACATGGTAAGATTAGAATTACTGATTTTTTATGGTATTCTGCTTGAGTCTTAAATAGGTTTTTCCACCACTTCCTCCAAGCCCTAAAATTCACTCAATAAAAATAGGTTAACTTACATGTATAAAAAGAAGAAGGAAAAAAAATCAGTCCATATACAATAGCTCCTAGTCAGGAATGTGGAATGGCAGCGTGCTGATAACATCCCCTGACTCAGTGACAATGGCGTCATACACCCACCGGCGGTTGCAGCGGCACTCGGGCCCACACTTGTTGGAGTTACACTTGGGGCAGGGATAGAAGCAGCCCAGGCAGTTCTTCTCTAGGCAGTCACACAGATCCACGTCATTACATATTAGCCTGCCACTTTTGTCATACTTCTTCATGATCCTACAAAGAAACATAATGACACTAACATGACAGTGCAATTCTCCCTAACATTGAGAATAAATTATGATGCAGTAAACTTCATTAACATGATCCTTTTACTCTGAAGGAACAGCACCTTAGACACTACCCAGCAGCACTTGAGAACATTATGTGACAGAAATTTTGTGGGAAATTCAGTCACTACATGGTCAGACGATTTCCAAAGCAGCCAGGCTTATCATGGGAAGTAACACTTGATTTTTCCAGCATTGTTGGGGAATCCCATATCCTACGTAAGTAAATTATGAGGAATTGCTGATTAAAGCTTCCTCTTAAAAATGCCCCAATCTTTTTGTTAAAATACAACTGTTCTTGATGGAATTTTTCCTTAATAAGTTGTACTCTTTTGTTTTTTCCCTTTCTTAAAAGCACTATACCATATTCAATTATACTTTGCAACGACTCAAGATAAGCTTTGGAACCATGAGCTGCTATGTCATAATCATTTTTTT